TTGCAATTTTGTTAAAATGAATTGAGATCGAAAAAAATTGGTTAAAAGTGAAAAAGCCTAAAGGCAAGGAAGTAGCAGAAAGCTAATTTTTATCCTCCAAATATCATGATTTCCATCCCATTCAATCCATCGCCCTCAACTTCTTATCACTTCTTTCTTCCTTCTTGTCCCTCTTCATCACATTTTCAACCTCTCTATGTATTGATAATTACATTTGTCGTATGGCGAAGACGCAGTTGAAATTTGCATTCTCAATTTTTAGGTACAGATTGCGCTTTTCATTGTAGCACGTTGTCCCAACGAAATTTTCATTCCATTCAAAAAGTCAAAACCATTGCAATAAACTTTGTGCACATTTTTCCATTCCACAGACTCTTTTTTCTAAATTTTTGAAAAATTCAACCAAACATTCAGATTAGTTACACAAATTTTGTTAGTTAAAAAAGAACGCAGGCAAATTGATTGTAAATTTAATGAAATTTGAATAAATTTAAATGTGCAGAGCAAATTTAAATTTGACGTCCATTTTTAATAAATGCTACATATATTATTCAATCAATAGATAGATGAGCCCTCATAAAAGATTCAAAAAAAGTGTAAACTGTATAATGAATTTATAATAATTCGGTTATTCAAAATAATTCTACTAAAAAAAAGAACAGAAATAATGTAAACTATCCTGAAACATTTCCCATTTTATACCTGTAGAAGTAATAAATGTTAAAACGAAAAAACAATGGATTTGTGGAAAAATAAAATGGTCAAAAAATCAAATAGACATGAATGGTTTTAATATAACTAAAAAATCATGATTTTTAATTAACTGTATGTGCTTATGAACAATAACAAATTAATTAGATCGATAGTTAAAATCGAATAATTCTATCAATACTTATTTTGTAATACTTATTTTGTAACTCCGATTCCATAAGTTCATTTTCTTTTCTGTAAAAAGAAGAAAGAAGGAACAACAGAAAATGATTACTTCATACTCATCAAATTCTAACAATTCAAATAAAACATCATTTTGTAATTTAAACTGACCAAAGGATACAATTAAAATGTTCATTTAATTCGACGCATTGATGATTTACTAAGAGGGCATGAGTTTGGAATTAGAACTAAAAATTATCATTGCTTTTAATCAGTTCAAAATTTGATGGATCGTTTCCGCATACGCATCTCACAATTTAACAGCCGAAATCGGTAAGCTTCGCCTCCATTATGTCATTCATTTTACTACTGGGAAATAATTATAAATCACTTTCTTCTCCACTATCGTCCGGGATGAAATAATCAGATAGCAATGCTTTTCATTAAAATTTTTTTCCCACAATAAAAATCAAATTTAATCTGCCAATGATAAAAATATTACACATCAATGGATAGCTTTGAATAGATTTCTGAAAGAATTTTAGAATTTTAGATATTTGAATGAATTTTAGAAAATTTTAGATTATTGCTATAATTATAATTAAATAAACATAAATGAAATAGGCTAATTGATTCTTTAATGTGAATGATTTAAAAAATATTTAATTAAATGAAAATAAAACATTCTTGTCATTAATAAAAAACACAATGAAAGAGAGTAAAACGAAAAATGAAAATAAGAGAAAAAAAAAATGCGATTTTAACGGCAATAATGACGAAAAAGAGCATCGCTAACAAATTATAACAATGATGGCATTTTCGAAACGATCAATAATGATAGAAATTGAAATTGTATTATAATAAAGATGAGAATAACGGATGAGAATAATATTGTTGAAGAAATAAAAAATAAAAATGATTGCAATAATAATGGAGGAAGGGAAGAATGAAATAAACGATATCAGTAAAGTGTACAATTGCGCCGCTCTTTAATTGTTTATTTTATTCAGCTTTTGTTATTCCTTAAATAATTTTTTATGTTTTCTTCAAAAATGAAAATTTCATTACATTTTGCTAGCATAGTTAGCTGCATCGACAATTGATTATGCTCACACGCTATGCAATTGAATTTGTAATTTATCAAATTATTTTGTAAAAAATCAATCGGACAAAAAATTCTTTTTTTTAAAAATATATTTTAGAATTTGAAACAAATTGTTCCAATGCAATAATTTCATGAATACATAGTTGTTTATTGCTGCGATTGTTCATTTATTACTGTTTATATTTCTGTAGTGATTAAATTATCAGATTATAACAATCAGTATTAATAGTAGAATATTAACAGACATATTAAAATATCAGATCACTAACAAATATTAATCAACAAATTATAACAAACAGTATATTTTTTTTGTTCTATTTCAATTTTAACAAATTGCAGAAGGTGAAAATTATTCCACTTCACTTTTAAATACATCCCCCAGGCTGTCATTTTATCATGTTCTAGCCATATTATAGAAATTGTGATATGCTTTTAATGCTTCTTGAAATATTTTCATATACTTTCCTGAGAGATTTGCGATGATTAAAGTTAACTGTTACATCATTTTTTTTTAATCACCAAATTCTATTTCATATTATACCACTCACCTACCTATGCTAACATACATGTTGTGAATATCAAAAATCAACCATCTGAAAAAATAATTTTCAAATCATGATTCATCATTTGAATATCAAATTTGCAGTTCCATTTCTGAGTCATCCAATCATGAAAAGCCGATCGGTGATGACTCATTGAGAATTGTGAGATGTTTGAAAATCTGTTTATTTATTGTTATGCTCATTTCAAAAACAAATCTTGCCAAAAGTATCCTAAATTTCAAGAGAAAATAGTTCCAATAGTTTATCAGTATAATTGAAACCTTCAAAATCAAAGATTTGGAATTAGAAATGATTAATATTCTCAAGCAAAATAAATAAAATTGCCTAAAATTGATACCTTATAATGTAATGAAGCAATAATTTGAATCATTCGTCGATTATTTTCATCGCAGTTTATTCTTTCCGCTTTCTCTCTCCATTTTTTGTTCATTTTAATAAATTTCCTCCTACATTATTTCCTTTGGCTATATTTAAGTAAATTTTGAAATTCACAATAATTGTATTTTGTTTGGAAAATTTACTTACAGTTGTCTCATATTTCTCAGGTATGCATTTGCTTTCCGCAATGATAAATGTTTTCAGCACCACTCCAGCATTTCACTTCCCATGTTCCATCATCGCGAACTCAAGAATTTCTGCTCAAACAAATTTATAAACCAATAATTCCGTTCCATTTGCACATAGTATAAGTGATATGTGTAGCTGAAGTTCTTTAGATTTTGTCAAAAGATTGACTCGTTGAGGAAATTTTAGGATGAAAATATGAAGACAGCGGTCCTCTTTAAGCTTTCGCTTTATTTTTTGGTGAATGAAATTGATAAACTCATTGAAGTGGAAAATATTTTAAATCATTTACTTCCGGACAAATGCAATATTTTTTTGCTTAAATGATTGCTGCTAATACAGGTAATACTCAGAACGTAAACTCACTGCAATTCCATGAATTAAGTAATCTGATTTTTGGGTAGTTTTGTTAAAAGAAAAATTTAATTAAAATGATTGGGTAGTATTTTATAGATTACAGGAACAGCCAACTTCTATTAAAATTTGTTCATTAAGTGGGGAAGTTATATCATTTTGCTTAATTTATGAGAATTTTATTTCGGGATTGTAATTTAGAAATGTTGCAAATTAAAATTACACTCAAAAGTTTTTTGAAAATAACAGTACTACTAAATTTTTCTAGCCAAACTTACTTTTTAAACTTTAACTGCTCAAATTACTGGGCGAGTAATGTCTTATAAAAATTCAAGATTGCTATTTAATTAAAATACAGGTAAAGCATGATAAGATGAAAATTGAACAATTCATACTGGCAGAAACTAATAATATGCTAACTTATTGCTTCTTCATGCTAATTTCCAAGAATTCTTGAGCTTAACATTCAATAAATAAAATTGCATTTTTAGAAATTAGAAAATTTTGAAACATTATTACATATTATACTGCCATCGGCACGATCATTCGTAGTTGGATTACTTTTTTATCTGACCAAATATTTCGATCCGTAAAAAATCCATTCCAGTTAACAGTAGTTTGATATAAAGTATGCGAGTTTATTACCGTAGAGATAGTTCGGACAAGTTTCCATCAAAAAAAAGAAGACGTATTCACAATTCACTGCGAGAAAGGAATAATTTATCTGCAATAATGTAAAATCAAAATATTGCAAATATTACATGCATTTCAATCATTTTATAAAATTATTAAAATTTATTCGTGTTTTAAATTTGCTTACATTGAAAACAGCCGTTATTATTACAACCTTTGTTTGGAAGATAAAAATAATTTAAATTTATTTATTTTTTTATTTCTCCAATTAGATACTCTAAAATGAATCTTTTTTAGTTGAAAATCTTGCATGCAATAGCGAAAAGCGAACAATTTTCTCAGTGTAAATTTAAGAATATCATATCAAATATCTTAACAAACAGTTCAAATTTTAATCATTAGCTTTTCTTTGTCAAATGATTGGAATATGATTGTAAAGGTGACATGTAATTGATGAGTTGTAGATCCCTCTCATATAAGCTGCTAAAATAAAAATTATATCAAAAAATATTAATTATCATTTAAAGTGATATCAGAATTGGGAAAATGATTTTCAACGTGACCCTTTTCATTTGAATTTTATTTAAGAAGGATAGTTTGGAGAGTTTCTTCACTGGCGCTGGCCATTGTGGTACCACGTTGTTGTGGTACTTTCCATTCTAATTTGTCGTTGTGGTACCTTTTCATTCTAATTCGTTGCTTCGTTTATAGCACGGTAAATTGGATAATTACTCAAAACTAAGCAAATAATTATTGACTATTAATATCATTTAGTATGAAAACACGACATTTATGTCTTTGATTGTGTATTTATTATTTTTGTGCTAGTTTTATTTTTTGTATTAGTATTTTTCAAGATATATTCATTAATGTTAATTATTTTTTCTACAAGAATTCTAAGGGTGCAAATGGAAGATCGTGATGATGGTATCGGATCGGAAATAAATACTCCAAGAGATGTGCAACATGCCGAGGGAATACATCACAGTTCTGCGCAGGTGAAATCATCTTTTTTTTCTTGAATTGCTCTCAGCCTTCGAAGTTTATTAATTTTAACATTTCTTCCATCCATTCTGTGCTTCTTTCATGCAAATGCGTATTGTTAGGAAAATGGGTGGGTTAGAAAGTCCAGATGCTAAGTGTAGTAACTGCTAAATTTATTACTGCTCTTTTAAGTTCCTTGTAATGAAGAAGTTTCTATTCTGACGATATTTCAAATTGTGCAACAATATTTACAATTCGTCTCAACATCTGTTTAATAAAGTTTCAGGAAAAGGAGAATATGAATGAAGTGGGTAATGTAGTCGCGTCACATCCATCATCATCGATTTTTCCGAATAGTTCAACACCAGTCAGACCACAGACTCAGCAAATTTTTCAACACATGCCGAAGATATCGCCAATTGAAAGAGTTTCATCAGCAAAATGTGTACAGAGTGACACGACAACTGTTTTGGACTGTTCAGGAGGTGAAACGAGCAATACAGTTTCTGGTGATAAGCACTACACGAAATTAGGTAACGTTGCTAATATTCAGAATTTTGCTAGAAATGTTCGTGAATGGATATGAGCATTATTGATTGAATTCATTTAATTGGTTATTAAAAGATTTTTAGATTTGGCTGTGATGTTGCGCGACAAACACTTGGAATGTATCGAGCTAGAGGGAGAAAATGAGCGGTTGTCAAAGTTAGTGGAAAAGCTTACAAATGAAAATCATCATTTTCAAGATCAGGTAAAAATATGCACCATTTTCGAGCATGGTTTATATGTCTGGTTAAACTGAATTGAACATTATGCTATGTAAATTTCTTATGAAAAAATGAAAGGCAAAATTAATTCTTTTTTTTGATCGTGATTGATTATTAGGACATGAACGCTTTTTTTGCTAATGATAAAATGCGAATTGAGAGTTTTGATGTTAGGACTTTAGGTTTCTTTCGCGAAAGGCACTGCCGCAGAAGCAGAAAAATTAAAGGTTAGTTACTTCACTGACTAATTGCTCTACATTCTTGGTAGGTATTCTTAAAAAACTTTTTTCAGATACCAGAAAGTTTTATTTTGTTTTAATAGCACTCATTAGAACACGTTTCGAAAGAATAGAGACGAAAGAATTTCACCAGTGATTATATTTTGTTCGGAAATTATGTAGATATGCATATAGCTCTTATTCGCAGGAAAGTAATTTGCAGGAAATTGCGAAAGAAAATGAAGTAAAGTTCATGAAATGTCAACATCAGTTACGAATGGCAGAACAGAAATTAGCACTTTTAGAGAATATTACAATTGATATAGAAACAGATAAGGTCATCTATTTTCTTCGTCAAAATGAAAGTAATGAGTAGGAACCTACATGGTCAAATTCAACTTAGCCCATGTGATTCTGTAATTGAATCAGATTTCTACATTTTGATGACAATAATTTTTCACTTTTCTAGTTTATAAGCATTGCGAAGATTTTACAGATGCCTCCTGCAGAAACACTCAAAAAGTTGCAGGATGAGAATATAGCAATGCAAGCAAAAATTTCAGAGCTTAAATTAGAGCTGGAAATAGAGAAGGTAAGGTATAATACTGTTCGAAGCCTGTATATAACTAGTTAATTCAATGAAATCGAAGCAGAAATGCATACATGTCAAATTTACCATTATCGAGAATGTGAATTATTTGGTTAGAGAGATTGCAGTAAACATTCCATCTTGATGCTTATTTTTTATCTATTTATTTTTTATTGCGTATAGCATTTATGAATATCTCTTATCAAATTTGAAATACTTTAGTTGCAAAAGTTAGTGCAAACACATGAATGCTTCATATTATTCTATGAGTTAATATGTCGTATCGTAAATTTTCTTCAGGAAGCAGAAAAAAATGCTGAAATCTGGAGAAAAAGATATGATGTCGCAGAAAATAGCATAGAAAAAATGCACGGAATGAAGACTGAGTTAGAAAAACAGTTAGAAAATAGACGAATCGAAATTGACATTTTGAATCGAGAAAAAAAAAGTTGCGAAGAAGAATGCAACAAATTCAAAGATTTATGCAAGGAAAATGCTGGAAAAGTTGCTGAGTTGCAGAAACAGCTACATGTAATTGAGGAAAAATTTAGACATTTACAAGAACAGGATTCGAAAGTTGCTGGACTGGAGCAAAAATTGGAAACGGAGAAGAAAGCTTGGGAGAACGAACGTGAACATTTACAAAAAGAAAAATCGGGGCTCGAAAAACGGATTGAGCAACTTGCACTCGCCAATTATGTTAATTGTTTTAAATAATCTTTCCAAATTAGATTTGTTAAAACTAAATGCATCCATATCATGGGGCTTATAACAGGATTATCCGATGATTGTGTTAGCTTTCTACAAAGACCCATGCACAAGTATGTGTGTGTTAGTAATCGTGGTGAGAAACTCTGCACCGATTAATAAGGTGACTTTGACAAAAATAATGGTTGGGGATGGGATTTCTGATCATGCAGGAGTCAGAATGGCGATATTTTTGTTTGCTTTTGCTGACCTCATTGTTGGCTTTTATTTCGTTCAACTACAGTTAAATCAATATAGAAAGCAATAGTTTTTTGAAAAATTGCTTTTTTTAAGGCATTATCAAACGAGAAGCAGGCATTGCTTGAAGCTGACAACAAAGGTTTAAAAGATTTGGCTACATGGCAGGAGAAAAGTGGGAAACTTGCATTGCAAAATGCACAGCTTGCTGATGAACTAAAAAAATATCGTGATATGGATTTACGATTAGCAGAATGCCTAGATGAATTAACAAAGAAGGATTCATTAGTTAGCTGTTTTTCAAGAACTATATTGCATTTATTTGCTTCATGCATAATTCTTGAAATGAAAAATAAGTCACGTCACTACTCTTAATGATGGCTAAAAAATGGTACTATTTATGATTCGATGGCTTCTTCACGACTACGGCTACTAGCAAATATTTTAGAAATAGTCGACCACTGATCGTGATACATGGATTTCTGGAATGCGTTATTATTTATTTCAAGAAATGTCAATGAAACGCTATTTCAGCATAGAACCATCTCACAATAATAATAAGCTTTTTGAATAGTTAAAAATTTTTGAGGATGTTTTTGTTTCATCAATAAAAGAAAGATTTTTAATCAGTTAATTTTGCAAAGCTTTGCATTATTTTCAGATTGAAGAATTGAACGGAAAAATTACCAAAAGCAGCAATGATCTGAAAAGATTTCGCGATGAAACTATTTATTTGAGAACACAACTGAGTGTTGGTTTCCTTTTAAATTTGTTTTGCTTCTACTATTTATTTTTAGATGATCTGATAGAAATAATTCATCAAAATGTTAAAGCAGTCAAAAAAATCATCAATGCATAAATCGTAGTATGAGCCAGTTTAATATATTTTGCTTTGTTAAAGTGTTGAACTTTCAATTAAATACAGGAAAAAACAAACAAAAATAAAATTGAAGAAGAATGGGCTATGGAAAAGGAAAAATTACTCTCTGATTGTGAACACTTGAAAGAAGAAATCGCAAAAAGTCACACTTTGGTGGTTAGTTTTTGACATATAATATGAAGTGCATCACAGCTGATTAATAGCAAACCAAAACTTAAATAAAAGCATGGTAATTAAAAAGTTGGGCAATATTAATTGGATTTACGTTTTGCGAGGTTTGAATAATTTGATCTGTTAGGAAGTCGGTATATTTGGAGATTTTGATCAGTTATAATTAATTGCTTTTTTTTGTAGGATCAAATTGCAACTGAAAAGCAGAAAAACAGTGAATTGACATCACTGATGGAGAAGCGTGACATGGAACTTGACAAAATTCGAACTCTTGTGGATAAAAAGCAGAAACGGATAGTAGGGTTTTTTCAAGAGAATGCAAAAATTTTTATGACTTTTTGTCAGAATCGATAGTGGATAATTTTTACTCAACTCCGAAACTCATTTCATAATTCATTCTCATCAGTCGATATGGTTTATTTGACTACTACTCGAGAAAAATTTTATGTGTCTTAGAAAATGCATTTCAACTCTTCGAAGTTATATAAAATTTTATACTTCATATTATTATTTCTGACCAGACAGTAGTCGATATAATCAGCAGATTTATGCTGAATAAAAGCTTTTTATCTTCAGCTTTTTGAATTGGGACTTAGGCTTTCATTACTCGATGTGGATTTTTTCCGGATTAAGATAAAGAAGCAAATAACGAGAGAAAAAGAATATAAAGATGAAAATGGAAGATAGAAGCATAGAATAAACTACTGCCACTTTGACATTCACGTTTTTGGGTTTCAAATTCAAAGCAGGTCGTTCATCCATGTTCCCCTGACGATATTTATTACTACCATTATTGTTAAAGCGAATTTGTTAATTAATTCGATTTATATCTAGGAAGATTTGATGGAAGAAAAAGCAGATCTGAAACATGAAAATATGTGTTTAAAGACAGCAGTAGATGAAGTCAAGACGGAATATGATACTTTCCGGGTGTGTTCTTTTTCTTCGAATCAGAATTATTATTGTTGCATATCCTTTCTTAACAGTCGATAGTCTGTTTATATAAAATGCAAATTAATAAACCTGAAGCTTCCACAGCTTTTTTGAGCATTCATCAGTATTTATTTCTAGAGTCAAGCCGAAGTTCAGTATCAGTTAGAAACCGCGCAACTAAATCAAATGATCGAGGAGAAAGATGAACGTCTAGAACGTCTGCATGCACGGATTGCTTTGTTCGAATCTTATCCTGGTATTCTTTTTTCCTCATTTCTGTTCTCATTGTATTTACTTTGCAGTGGTTAAATGCAGTATTTGTTTTTTCTTTGTTTTGCAAGTGATTTTTTCTTTATTCGTAGGACAGAGCAGCACTGTTTTTTCTTGCTCAGCTAATGCAAATAGCTGCGCAGATTCTACTGTATGGAATGCGCTTCCTGCTACCATACGTTTACAGCTGTGTGAACTGAAAGAAGTAAGGATTTGAGATTTGTTTATAAGTCCACATTTCATTCACAAAATATTTTTTGTTTTACAGAAAGCTGATATTGTGGTGCTATTCATACTGACTTTTCATAATTCAATATTTTAGAAATATCAAGATCTCAATGCTTTTATGTATCGAATGATGTCAGATCCATCGGCAAAACAGGATGCCACTATCACGAAGGTATAAATCTTTTGAGATTTATTTTACCTTGTCTTGTAGAGAAATAGGATGAAGAATCTTATTGAAATATTAATGTTTGCGGGTTTTATTTCATGTTTTTTTGTCACACAGTTAAATGGATCTCACAAATTCTTATTTATTCTGAGAACGCTTACTGTTAGATTATGGAGAATAAATCAACGGACTGCTGTGACTTAGCCTCACCTGAGGAACTATCACATTCAGAATTAATGAACAGAAGTGATTCACCCCTAGTAGTATGTGAAGCTGGATCAAGTTTTGAATCATCAGGAAGCCTGACTGATACAACGCAGCTGGAAGGAATAAGAGAAACCAGAGACATATTACTTTTAATACTCGAGTCTGTTCGTCATGCAGAGGTTGTTAGACCCTTTTGGATTTTCTTTAGTTTTTCTTGTAAAATTCTCGACAGATATATTTCTTTTAGTCCAGATCAAACTGCTGATCATTGCAGATTCGTAGTAAACTTAGTCCCAACATACAACAATTATTGGAGAATCTTCTAATTGATATACAGAAAGGCGATAAATCAGTGGAACAAATTAGTGGAACGGTAAATTACATTATTTCAAGAAATAACATTTTTTATAATCACCAAGATATCCGCTCATAATCCTGTCATTCATTGCAGATCTTTTAGATGTAACGTGAGCACGCCTAAAATGGCGATTCATTGACCTATCGAAAGAGTTTCATACTGTCAGTCATGAAAACTTTTCATTAATTCAAACATCTGTTCAGTTGCCTGTGGTTTGAATTGTTTCGTCTTTATTTTCCTATAAACGGCAGTTCTATTTCAATATGCTCAAAGCTTTCAAAACACGTATCATGTGGTACCCCGATATTACTTTACAATTACCGTTTCCCCACTACAGTGGGTGTCCAGATTCTTTTATAGTTATAAATAATTATAGCAATTGTTTTCAGTGAAAAGTAGGACGAATGAATCCAATGGTAGCCCTTTTCAGTTCAGAAATAATTTGTTCTAGGTGAATCGTTTTTTTGCAAATTTGGATTTGGCACTACGAAAAACACTTTCTGCGTCGGATGACAATAGAGTTAAATGTGAAAAGCTAGAGAAATTGTGTACGGAGGTTAGTTTCCCTTTATTTATAGGTAAATTTCAACAAAGTCAACCCTCACTAGCAATGTCTTGATAAGTTTAAGTATATTTCAAAATATATTTTATGTTTTTTATTTTTAAGCATCTAGTTCATATTTTACTGATCAAGCAGATTTCAGATGACTGCTGACCTTCATTATGTTCGAGACGAACTTCGCTCTGCTCTGAATAAGTGCTCGATATATGAAGGAAACATTGACAGCTTAAAACTACAGTTCAGGTACGTTGATAGTTGCATTCTCGAGGTACAGCACAAGTGAGCACTATAAAAAGCTTTGGAACTTTGTTTTAAATGCACCATCAGGATTATTTCATCTACTGAAAAAAGATATAGTTGATTAGCGTTTCCTGGTTTCTACTAACAGTTTTTCTCATAGCTGTTTTAAATATGAATCATGAAACTCTGAATTATTACAAAAAAACATTAATTCTTTTATAAATACAAAACATGCGAAGTAATTTTAGTCATGGAAATCAAAAGTGTGCTGAATTACATGGGAAATTAAAGCGAGCTTTTGAAGAAATTGACAATTTAACCAAAGAGAAAGATGATCTTAATGTTGTTGTAAAAGAAACAAAAGCAATATTAAAACATAAAACAGATTTGGGTTTCCAAGCGGCGCATACCATTAAGGTGACTTCTGAATTACTTTTAGTATAAGAACAATTTAAATACGTTCATTTATTTCTTTATTAACAGAGGACTAATTAAGCATTACACAGTAATACAGTGATAAACTTAAATTTATTATTCGTTAGATAATTCTCTTTGATTCCATAATTGTTTAATTGGAATTTCAAAAATGGATTTCTATTAATATAACAGTCTTACAACTTTTAGTGTATAAAAGACGAATTGCAAGAAGCAAAAAAATTTGAAGACCAGATGAATCAACGTTTGCGTAAACTGTGTAAGGAAAAAGAAAAAGTGAAGCAACTCTTAAGTGAACGGGATCTTGACGTTGTTAAACTCGAGTATCGCCTTGTCGAAAGAACTAATGAATGTAAGGGATTATTCTTTAAATTTGATAGTACTCATTTAGGGATTTACTCCACTGATTACATCACCATTATTTATTCTTAGGCACAGCAACAGCATCTAAGTTGCAACAAGCCGAAAATAAAATAGATGCATTGCAAAAACAGAATGAATATTTGAAAAGAAAATATGATAAACGAGAAAGTTTCCTTGAAGAAATGGAAGCAATTCTTAGAGTTATGAAAGTTCGCTGCGAAGGACTACAAGAAGCTAATCAACTACGGCAAGTGAGTAACTGCATCTCTATTTTTTTTGGCATCATATGAAAGTTATGTAAATTTAAAGTCCGATGTAAAAATTTTGTAAGTTTTATCATTCGTTTCACCTATGGTGTTCTCATTTCTTGGATTGACTTTTTTGCTTGGTTTTATGGAAGACAAAAAATTTTTCAATGCTTAATTTATGTCACATTATTCTGAAATATAAAACAGAACTTGATGCTTTAGATTTCATAATACTTTATAACTGCTACTTTTAATTTCAACAGTTTACTTGTTGCGGAGTCCGTGAATTTTACTCTGAAATAAATTTTCAGAACTTAATTGAGAAGCTGAAAAAACTTCTTGTAAAACTGGGCTTTAATTTGGATAATCCGCGTTTGATCAATGGCAAAAGATTCAGTGCCTTTGAGAGTAGTGCAGTAAAATTAATGAGAAAATCCAAAATGCACATGCGGCCATCCTATCTGGATCGACTGAAATTGGCGAAGATTGCGCAACATCTCGAGAAGGTAATATTTTTAAGAAAGCAAACAACATTTGGTTTTATTGTATAATTACATTCATAATATAAAAAATAATAAAGCACTGAGCTATGACCAACACAGAATTATAGACCTAAATTTCGAATGCAACAATGTTACCTAAAGTTGTTATTCAATCTTTAGGGTAATCTTGAATGAGGATAGTTTTTTAGGATACTGTCAAAATAGAGGAACTGGAGAAATGTCGGAATAGTGATATTGTGCATATTCCATCCTGGCGCAGTCTGAACACAGTTTCGGTATTATCTGCTGACAGTCGCGCTGATGGGATGCAGAATATTGGTGTTATTACTGGAGGTACTGGTCAAACAAGTCACGCCGTTTCTGAAAATGGTTTTGATATGCTGTAAGTCAGTTGCCGCTAAGTTATATTGGTTTGGCTTTTTATTTCCTTTTCATTAGTGATAGTGTTTTTTGTAGTCTTAGCAAAAAATGATCTTTTGAGTTCATTTTCTCTCACATTTTCAAAAATTAGCGCAAGAAAAATGATATTTATATAAGATGAGTTCGGTAACGGATAGTCATCCTTTATGTTTTTAATTAGTTGCTCGATTGTTTTGCCATATTGAACAGTCAAATCCCGTACAATATATAACTTTATGTTTCATAATGTTATATACTATACTTAATGTCACTAGAGAATAGTCATATCTTTTTATGTTTTTATATCTTCATAACATTAAAAGTGTCGTATGTCGCATAATTTTTTTGATTCACGAACTTTCTTCTGCATTTTTCTACTATACTGTATTATATATACATATAAGCGCTATTTTTTGGGGCGAAAAAAGAGTGAAGTGCCTTTGCATAGTATTTGATAAAATTAGGTTAACTGGCAATTTTATTTATTAAGTTTTATTCTAAGCTCTTTATCTTTCCACACTGATTTATATAGCTTTATTATGCTGCGTTTCATGTATCGCTTTGTCTTATATTCTCATACATATTTTTGAAGTCATCTTCAAGTCTTTGTCTTTAAGAAATGCAAGTGATATTTTCCTGTGGTTTAGTATTGTCTTTACTCATATCATTCTTTTAGAGTTTGTATATTATTTTTATTTTATGATGAGACGATTTCATAAGAAAGTGCTAGTGAAGTGCTGTGAATGATATCACGCTGGTAGCCTAATAGACATTTACAACTTTTAAACTTTAATCATCGCAGTGCATCTCACCGTCTTTAGTTAGTAAGTAAAAACTGGATTTAATCAGCGTAGTATATCAATTTGATGTATAACATTTAAAATTTCATATAAATTGTATCTACCCAAATCCTTAAAACTCTTTGTATCTCTTTTCAATACGGTTTAAGAAATGTTCACCTCGAAAGCTTTATTTTCGCTACATGCCGTGTTTATTGCTTTGATAGTTTAATAATTGCTTTACAGTGCTGCTTTTGATCATCTCATTTGTTTGGACATCTCTGAGACATACTTCACTTTAGCATCTGAGACAGCATCTCTTTCATTTTACGTAGCATTTTACTTTTCTGATTACTTATCTAGTAATAATAAAAGATTGTGTATAAAATTTTTCACCTGTGATGTATCATTGGTTACGATGGTCGGTAAATGATTTATTAGATAGCTAAAAATTTTTCATACATTGATACCACAGGTTCCTCGAATATGATGCATGCTGAAAAATGTGAGTTTGTGCTAGTGCATTGCCTGGAATCTCCGACTTCCTTTCAAAGATGATTGTGATTTGAGGTATTAAACCGCTGAATTCTCTCTTTTTAGCGGTTATTTGCACTATTAGCGGGTGGCTGAATACCAATAAACTGAAGAAATTGAAAAGAAAGTTCAAATCCTTCCATTATTTTTCCTTTAATCACTAATACATAGTCATTTTTTTTATCTTACATTTCAAATCAATCTATCGAATGTCTGAATCGAGATTTTTATTGTTATTTGTAGTAAATCATTGAAATACTGCACAAGAGAAACAGACATTGTAAACAAGAATTTTATGTTAAGAAATCTTATGAACATTAGAGGTCAGACACAAATTCATCCACTACTGCAGTATGCTGTGAAATATCTGTGGATAAAATCATTTTGTATAATAATTGATTATGGTTATTACAAACGACATACATAATCGCCAATTATACGACATACATTACTCTACCAAAATTTTATTTTTAATTAAAAAGTCAAAAGCACGAATTTCTAATTTTTTAATGATATTGCTGAAATGGAACATCGAAGACTTAACCAATACATTTTTTACAATAAATTATTCAATTGGTTATAAACGTTTAAATTATTCAACAAATCAATTAGTCATTCATAAAGTGGAAGCATTAAGTGGCAATGTTTAATAAATGCATTAAAAAATTCTAATTGCGAATATTAGCATTATTAAACAATTCGGCAAGAATTCCTAAAGTTTAATGAGGTGAGAGTATAAAAAAATGTTCATTTGTTTAAAAACAACTGAATCATTTGCTGGTCAACTTTTCATAGTTGAATACCATTTGAACCAACCATAATTAATTTTTTTTATCTACTTTGATTGTTATGCAAAAAAATATGTTCAAGAAAAGTCACCAGGTTGATTTTTATAACAAAAATGAAAATTAGTGCAACAAGTTGGATTTTAACTTTTAATCAGCTATAATGAATGAAATCTTCCAACAAAGTCCTGAAATAATTCAAAAGAAACAATACAATTTCAAAGCAGTATAAAGATGTATAATCAGCCAAAATTTGTCATTGATATTTTATAATTTTATTTGTACGGTATGTTTATTTGTTCAATCTTCGAATCATTTCAAAAATGGTCCAAGTCGAATGACATTGCTTACAAAAAAAAAAGATAATTAATTTAATTTTGAGAGCTACTTCGTAGCGCTATATTTTCTGATAACTTGGAAGCATAAGTTAGCGATAAAATATATCTTTTGTTTCTTTTTCCTATTTTAAAGAAGCTTTAAGTGGAAAGTAAAATAATGTAAAATTTTGTTCCGAAAAAACAAAAATGTTTACAGAAGATGTCGTATCCAAAAGAAATTCTCTTCCCAGCAATTAATAAATCAGTCGTTCGACGTCTACTGCTTCGTAACAAAACAAAAACTGATTTTGCTATAAAAGTGAGCAAAATTACTTCACAACACGACTATTTGTTCACTATTTTATGAATTAGTTTGAGCAAATTCCAATATGAAATGGAAATTAGCAATGTTTTAATACGTTTAGTGAAAAATCGAATTGAAATTGAAAAAACGAAATTTTTGCTTTTTCTGTTTAAATTTCTAGCAGTTATTATTTCCTATAACATAGCAAATACGCATAATTTAAACAGTTCGAAGTGCTTCTGAGTTTATGTTTCATTTAAATGTTAATGATGGCATAATCATTTCATTCGATACAATCTTTCCGTTCATCATTCATTGAATCATTACATTCTTCATTTTTTTTTTTTTTAATACGAATGTTCTGGCTATTTTCATAAGGATTTGATTATTTAAATATGGAAAATTTATAAGCACTGTTTTTTGAAAAAGCTTTACAACAGAATGTAATAGAATAAAACGTTATAAAATTTAGATCAATAGAAAAAAAATGGAACAAAAAGTATGGAAATTTTTTACTTAATTGAAATTAAAACATTTACTAAAGAAGATTCTAATAAGAATGATCAATTAATGGAACATTTATTTTTTGGCGAGAAATTTAGTTCGTTGTTTTATTTTATATTTTGAAAAAAAAAGTTATATTTGCATTTATGAGCTTGGATAGAGCCTTTAAGAACTTAGCAAATTATCAAAAATTGAATTCTTCTCCAAATGTAATTTTCAGGTTTTATGGAAAATTGTAATTGCTTTAATTAATGCTATTCATTGGCGTATCTTAATTTTTAACAGATTTAATAGCCTATTAATGAATTGATCTCACGTGCGTGGAGATGAATTCACGTTTAATACAGAGAGATCTTGAGAAAAGCTGAGAATTGATGAAATTGATAGCATCCAAGCTGTTTTGATTCATTTTGGTGATATAATAATACCTTTGAGTGGTTACCAGAAAAAAAAATTTGATAATTCTCAAGAAGTGCTTACTTACTTCTTCAAGCTTTTACTTTATTTTCAGGTGAGAACAAATTGTCCAGCATTGGTAATAGAGCCGGCTCAGGGATTTCTTCGAGCCGGACGTATTCAGTCCGTTTCGCTCCGTTTTGATGGTGCGCAAAAAACATCGGTAACTGGCGCTTCTGTTCTATTTCATTTTTTTTTCGTATATCAAAAGTAATCAAATTTTTTTCCAACTATTGATAGCTATTAACTCTTCTACGTTTACTCTCACTTTTAATTTAAAACTTTAAAATTATCTTATTCGTAGCGTTCATAACTTTTGCATTCTAATGCATATCATTAAATATGTTATATAATATTATATCAATTATCAATTCTGTCTGACGTAATTATATCACTCTCATCTCTTAATCAATCTTTTTTGTTCGTGATTTTGATGAACTGCACATAACTGAGGACTCAAATTAGCAGTAATTTTGCTATTCCGGGAATTAACGGGAATGCAAAAGGAAGCATTTAGTGAAGTCCACGTCATCTCAGCCTGGAATGATTTTTGCTAAATCGTATTATTGTTACTCTCATATTTTGGTCTGGCCACAAAATTTATGCAAAAATTCCTAAATTTCTTTAAAAATATTGAAGCTTAGAGGGGAAAGGTTGTTTATGTTTAATAAATTCTTTTCAAATTTATAATAATTTCTTGGCAATTCATCAGAAACGATCAATCGAAATTTACTGTCGTCCGGTGGATAAAAGATCGGAGGCTGAATGTCGTCGTTGGTTTTTGACACCGACAGAATTTAAAGAATCGACCAGTCAACTTGCACAAACATTGCAAATTAAGACGAGCACCGGTTTTACACCTCTTGAGGTCACTTTGAGAATGAAATTTCAGCGTCTGATATGATCTGATATGATCTACTAGCTTTTAAAAAGTTCTTTTAATATATGATAGCGCGTTTACGGACATTGAAAAGAGCTATTTCAAAGTGTCGACTCATTGCTTCTTAATCAAACAATGTTCGATAGCCGTTTAATTAAATTAAATGAAGCTCCATTTGCTCATAATTTATATTTATGTGATGGTAAAAATATTTTCGAAATAGTGCGCTCAAAAAAACTGCTTTGATCTCTATTTCCCCCATAATTATCATTTTGTATCGCTTGAATTTTAAATTAATTCAATTCTTTTTTCAACTTTAGTATAAAAATATTTTATCACATAATTTCAGCAAAAACTATCCTACTTTATTATCAAATATTTATAAATATAAATTGTTTGAGTATCTTATTACTAAGTATACTAGCTAAGTATTTGTAAATATAAATCAATTTGTCTTCTAGACAGTCCTTGATCTTCCATGCCAAGCGATTGCCTTTCAAGCAGAGCAACATCCCACTCATATGACAAATGATTCGGATACGGTCACTGCTCATCAAATTGATAGCGGTAAAGTTATCAAATTGTTTTGAAGTCATTGAGCACAACATGTCTATCAATAATTATACAAAGTCATCTAACCTATTGACATTTAAATTGAAGCTAATTTTTTTTTTGAATGAACATAATTGGAGTATTAATGAAAATTTAACTTTCAGGTACCGCAACTGGTTGTGCGATATCGGAAACAGAGTTATTAGCGATGCTTCCACCAGACTGGGTGCTAAATACAGCACAAGGAATTGATGGAAACGATTGGAATGGAAATATTTTATCATGGTCACGTCCTAACTGTAGATGGCTTGAAAAATTCTTTGATTCAATCTTTCCACCTGATGAAACACAGGAAACAATTGCACCTTGTGGAGCAAGCCGATAAATTCAACAGATATTTTATTGAAGCAAAATTCCCGGAAATTTAAACTCAAATACCAATGTGAATCATTTCTCTTCATTTCCTTCCTCATTATGCTAATATCGGAAATTTTACATCTTCATTTTATCCTCTTCATCATAACTGACCATTAATCATATGGAAAAGATCAATAGTTGACCACCAGAATAACAAAATGTCTAACTCATACTGATTAACCTTTGTGTCATTGAATTTCTCCAAAATTATTCATTTCATTTTTTCATGCATCATCAATCCAAATCCATCAACTCTCATCTGATCTCATCGATAATCTCACGCATGATAATGACATCATCAGAATGACCCCAAATTTACTCGTACACATCTCATTTTATCCTCATTTTCTCATCTTCCTTTTCAAATAATTGCTAATAATCATCACATTACTGACTTTCTGTTTCATTTGGTTAATTTGATTAACAGTTACATTGCATTCCTTATCACTTACCCCATTTTCACTTATCTTCTTTAATCTTTTTGTATCACTTTTCTTTAGCAAATATAAGTTATAATATCAACAATAAAATATGATAATTCAACAATTTGCAGAGAGGATTTGCTTTTAAATAATTTTAGCTTTTAGATAGATTAACTCATTTATACCAGATTGCTGGTATCACATGTTTCCATATTTATCTTATTATTATATGCTATTAATTAAAAAGAAGTATCCACAAACATCATAAGATTAATTAATAAAGAGTAACAACATTTTTGATTTCTCCTCTCATGAGATATGAACTCAATTTATCGATAACTTATCAACTAATGCATTCAATTTAAAAATAAACTCTTTTCAACTTAACTTTTGTGATGTATTATTTGAAATGAGAAGAAAGGATTTCTTGTTATATTCCCTTTACAAATTATCATTTTTTCAATGCTTCATAAAGTATTGTTCCATTTTTAACTTTTAAAAATTTTCCTTTTCAATTTAGTTACTTTCAAAGGATATTATATTTTTTTGTTATTATGAAGTCAATATACGGTACTTTACCATTCCACCATAATGACACATTTTGTCAACAAATCAATATCTTCTTATTGTTGTTCATTTTTTCCGCCGGGATTTTCTCTGCCTTTTATCGGCTTTTTCATCGCCATAAATTTGTATGTTGCAATTGTCATTTTAGTTGCAGCATATATTTATTGAGTTTGTTATTTTCTCCATTGAATATAATTTGAATACTACATTAAAATGATATAAGAGAAAAATAATAATTGGAAATGTTCAGAGAAGAAAATAACTTTAATCTTTGCTATAGCATAATAATTAATATTTTGCCAAGTCCTGCAATATTAGTTGATCAATACTGGGAAATCAGAGAGATGCTTTCAATTGCATTTTGGTCGCATTAAATTTTTTGGCTGCAAATTGGGTTGGCCCGTGACTGCCTTCATTATGAGGGTTATATTCTGTTACAGTTTATTGTTTGCTGTTATCTTCGTTACTTTTTCAGAAATTTTAGGATAAAAATGATTGAAATTGAGCAGTAACTGTTTTATATCTGTTGCTCATATTTAATCTCTTTTGCAAAGTGTCATTTGACCTCCGCATAAAATTTAGGAGCAAAAGTTTTGGAATTTCGTAGCGGACAATGATTATTGTAACAGTGAATATTTCGTCTTAAAATTTTCTCACAATTTTTGATTTATTGTTTATATCATTAGCTATATCATTCTGTTATACTTTTTGTACTCAGCGCTTACGTTCGGATAAGCTATAATATACATCGGACATATCTTAAATCATCTTTGCTCATGTAAGTGGAGTTACAAATTCTTCCACATTATGAAATGAGTTGTTTATTAACACAGCGCTTTACCGTCAATTCGATAAACTCCTTATGTTTTTGACTCGCTCGTAATAAAAGAATTTTGTAATAAATTTACGTGGAACAATTATCATTTTTTTTTTTTCGGCGAAACATTCATGTATCGGTGTTGTTTGCAGGAAGAAATGAACGGAGAGATTTCGTTTAAAGATTTGAAAGCGTTACTGGACGATAATAACATAGATTTAAGCATGCGTGAGCTAGTATCCATCCCAGTAAAATCTTTAGTATGTTCTTCATTTTATAGAAAATTTATTATTTGATACTTAGTGTTTTAAACTGTCTTTTAAGAATAAATTATTTCTCGAATATGTTTTTTACTTTTTAGTTTTGCAATGTGATACACTTTAATTGCAGAGTAAAATCCCGCGTGCTACGCACCTCGACTTTTCGAACAATTTAATAACATCGATCCCGGCAGATTTCTGTTGCTTAACGCATGTCACCAAGTTAGATCTAAGCAACAACCACATTGTCCATCTGCCAGACGAATTCGGCAAATTGATCAACCTTTTTCATCTTGATTTGTACAAAAATGAAATTGAGGTAAAATAACATGAAATTCTGCAATAATTTAACTTGTTTTAATATAAGTTATTCAAATTCTACATTAACCTTTTTTCTAAAATTTGGATTAGATCAGTGTATAATTTCTTCAGAACATTCTTGTAATTCTAATTTTTTCAAGTGTGGTTTGAAGCGAAATTGAGATTATTCACATTGGTGAAACGAGTGGTAGTATTTTAGGAACTTCCTTTATCTTTCGGTGAATTGGTTTCACTAAAATGGTTGGATCTGAAAGGCAATCCTTTGGAATCTGAACTTTTGCAAGCAGCGGGCGATTGTTTAGATGAAAAAGGCTGTAAGACGGCTGCTTCGAATGTTGTACGACTTATGCGTGATCGAGCTGCCAAGCAGCAGCGACTTCTTGAAAAACAGAAATCTGTCAAAAAACGTATGTTTGTTTTTCTTCTTTAAATGTCAACATTATCAGTGCTGATAAGCTGTACAGGATCAGATCCATAGTTAAAATTGTTTATGATTGAATTGTTTTTGAACG